AAAACCACATGAATTTCTCGCCAATGGGTCGGCCCGTCTCGGCAATGTACCGCACGCCGTGCAGCGTTGAGTTCTGAAAGAACTCCTTCGTCTGATAGATGAGACTGCGACGAAAGATGACCAGCGTTTCGCGGGCTCGCTGCCGCCGTGTCGTCTCGTGGATGTGTTTCTCTTGCGGCATTTTCGTTTCAGAAACATTGCTCGCCTCGCTGGAGGCCACAGTCAATGGTCCACACAATGCCAAATTCTAACGACCAGCAACAGCAAACCGCAAACAGCAGCTCTGGCTCGTGTCAGTTTGCCTGAAGGACTAAACTAAGGACAAATCCCAAACACCAAACACACACAGAAGAAATGGGGATCGATGCGTGGGTCATTAGCGTGTGGCTACGTTGGATGGTTGGGTGGGTGGTTGTCTCGTTTCTGGGTGTCCACTAAAAGCCTTTCATTGTTTATGTTGTTGCATGACGCTGATTGGAACCACCGAAATGGGCCAGTGTAATCGTGACTGACCCATCTAGATTGACTTACCCGATGCCCTTATACCCTCGCCAGTGCGTTTCTATGACTGACTATTTTCGGGTTTTGGCAACGCACCACAAAAGGATATTATTGGTTTATTTATTTTGCCTGTTTTTATATTTATTCCTGTTACAAAATCTACGTTTTATTTAGCTGATATTTTTGGCATTATAAAAAAAAAAAAAAATAAATAAGTAAAAAAAACTATTGCAAATAGTAGTCCGAAAAGAGGAGCACTTAAAATCATTTTGGAGTGAGGATTGAAGACTTTTGATGGACTAGAATGTCAAGCAGAGTAAAAAGGCCTTCAAATGAAAACTCTAATTGAGTATTAAACCTTTCATTATGTTGGTATATCCAACGGAAATAGTTTATAATATATATATATAAGGAATACATATACAAGTCACATTAAGTTATATATTTTTAATATATTATATTATAATTCCCTGGGTAATTCGAATATTAACGAGAAGGACGTGTGAAGTGGGACGCGACTCTACATACCCGTACCAGCAGATATACATTTTTGAGCTTATGATTTTAAGATTTAAAAAAAAAAAAATTTTACATTTTACATTTTTTTGCTCATATGATACACATCTACACTACAATGTAACACTAACATGTAATACTGTCCATCATATCCTCCCCCGCTAGGGTTGCCGCGCACGACGCGGCAGATGGCGAGCGAGAGGAAAATGAGATGAGTGAGTGTCGGTGGCGGGAGGGGAGGGAACAACTGAAAATTAACCATCGGCAAATAGCCGCACAGTTCGGCAACGGCGGGCCACGTCTGCGTTTAGTTTATCGTATCTTTAAACTGTGCCTGCCACAGATTTCGTCCGTGGGGCGGAGGGCGGGCGAAATTGAATACACTGTAGCAGGTGATCGTCGGAAACCAAATTTGGTTTCCTAGCTCTTATAGTCTATCGGGTTCAGAGACGGACGGACGGACATGGCTATATAGACTCGGCTATTGCCTGATCAAGAATATATATACTTTGGGGCGAATTTCCGTTGCACACATCCACTTTTACCACAAATAACCCCTTAACTCTTTTTTGAGTAGGGTATAAAAATAAAATAAAATATATGTAAAAACAATTCCAAAAATTTTAGTTAAAGGTAAAACGCAAACAAATTGTTTTAGTTAATATATTTGTGTGTTTTTTATTTATTTTTATTTGGTTTTAGTTAGTATATTTTGGTTTTTTTTCTTTATTTTTATTTGGTTTTAGTTAATATATTTTGTGTGTTTTTTTTCTTTATTTTTATTTTTATTTGGTTTTGGGTGAAAACTTTAGTGCTAAAGATCAGCTTTATCTATGACTTATGGCTCATATTTGATCCTTAAATACTTATACATTTAAATACATTTTGCAAGCGTATTAACCAGATCGGCTACTTTCTGCTGTTGTTGCGTTCTGTTTTACATTTAGCATTGTCTGAGTCCCAAAACTTGGTCTAGTCTTTGTGCCTAGTATAGCTTTGTGGGTCAGTCCTGTGTCGGAGTGCAGCTGCTTTGGACGTATGGATTGGTCGCAGCTAATTGGTCGAACGAACGAACTCGGGCTGAGGCTGGTCAGAAACGCCTGTCTGAGCAGCTTCCGGCGCCGCCTTGCACGCCACTCCACCACACAGCCACTCTCCAGGATGCACAAGGAACGAAGGAACTTCACAAGTTTTGTGTGAACTTCTGACACGGCCGGCCCAGCTCCAGCTCCAGCTACAGCCCCAGCCAGACTCTCCAGCTATCGCCGGCTATCGGCTGCGCGCTCTTTGTTTTCGCTCCAACCAACACATGAAGTGTTCTCAAGTTACACAAAAGCAAAAAAAAGCCTGAACTGCACTGCACTGGATCCATCCAAAGCTCCAGCTCGAACCCAAAATAAAAACCCAAAAAAAAAAAAATACCCAAAAACTCAAACCGAATCCAAAGCTGAACAAAAGAACTGCCGAATTGAGTTGACCCTGATGGCGGTGGCCAGATAAAAGTGAAGCAGCAACGGCAGCAGCAGCAGCAGCAGGAGCCCTCATCCAACTGGCGCCAGTCGGCAGGGCAGGGCAGGGCAGGGCAGGGGCCCTTCACAGCTTCCCCCCCCAGCCGCTCCCACCGTTTCTGCAGGAGACCTGAGCATAAATTACATTTAGCATGAGAAAAAAAAAAACAGCCAAGGATCCTCAGTCGATGGCTGCACTTGCACCTGGCGCAAAGAGAAAGGCAGCCGCAGAAGTTTATTCTAGGACCCTCTCCTAGGATCGAAACTCGATCGCGACCCACTTATGGTTGCCCCCTTGCCCCCTTGCCCACTGCCCAATCACCCTTTCACACACAGTTGTTCTCCTCTCAATTTGTTTTCTCTCTCTCTCGTTCGCTTCGTTTCGGTTTCTTATCAGCGATCATTTGTCAAAGGACGGCCTGCCATTGAAAAGTTGCCCGACCACTGAGCGAAACGAACGGCAATTGAAACAAATTTGTTGGGGTCTGGCCCGGCCTGGCCTGGGCTGGCCTGGGCCCCTTCGCCACAGTGTCTCACCCCTTGGCGCCTCCACCACTCCACACCACTCTTCAGATTCAGTTGACAAATGCAGAGAATGAGCAAAAAAAAAAAAAGGGTACTGCAAGGAGAAAAAAGACACAGGAACTCGACAGGCAGATACCCAACTGCATTGGCTCAAGTACATATTTACATATAGATTATACATACATATTATAATTTACTACATATTTATACGTAAATTGGTAAATATACAAAACAATTTTTGTTTTTTTTGTTGTATTTTTAGTGCAAAATACTTCCAAAAATTTAAAATTTTCTATTGCTATATTTTAAATGCAACCCTGTGCTCTGAGAGTCAGCTGTTTTTCCATTTCAGTATTATTTTTTTATATTGTTTTGGGGCAAGTCTTAATTGCCACAACCAATGATTAGAAATCATTACAATACGAAAATAAACAAGTAAAAAGTAAAACAAGTAAAAAGCGAATTGTATCTAGAAAATATTTGTAGGATATTGGGAAAACTCAACATTAAAGTAATTTCGTTTCAAGCTAATATTAATAAGTAGTTTAATCTGTAACTTTTTACGCGACGAATTCTGTTACCTAGTCCCGCGCGTGGCTTGCTGCTTCTCATGTCCAATCCGACCCTCGATGAGCCACGATCAATGGAAGGGTATCAACGCTGCCATCGTTGGGAGCACACTCTCATAAATAAGAAATTGAGAGTAAGCGAGACTCTCGAGGATGAGTTCGAAAAGGAAGGCCCACACTCTGGAGGTAGGTATACCAGGCTACGATAAAAGTTTTTCCTTTTCACATACCCTTGCAGAAAGTATCTTGGATTTTTAGATTAAAAGAAAGCCCAAAGAGGGAAATATTTATTGGAAGCGATCAATGATCAATAGAGCAATATAAATGTGTACTGCCATTGATACGACTGTTTTGAAAAAAGGGTATTTAGTTCTTCTGCAATGCCCGAAGTTTCGGCGTTACTTTCTGGTTTCAGTTTCTCGTTTTGCATTGCGCACCAAGATCGATCGGTGGCGAAGAATGTTCCTTTGAGGCTGGTCGGTCTCCAATGTCCGCTACGTGTCCGTCCGTCCGTCCGTCTGTCCGTTTATTTGTCTGTATGTGTTCGTGTGTGATTAATGGTAATTGCTTTCATGGCTCTTTTCTATACCCAGCACTCGACGAGCTCAAGGCATATATTCCAGACGTCATTCAGATGCACATACTCAACTTTCCGAGAGGTAAAAAAAATCAGCAAAATTATATAAATGGGCAAATAAGATAGGTTCTTCTTAATTCTTAATTCTTAATTAAAATATCGTATTTTGATCTGAACAATTTTCATAAGGCACTCGTAAGGGAGCATAACGTTCTCGATTTGCTCGTTTAATGGTCAGATTTGCATCCCAATTCTTGGGATTTTTCATTGGATAATCTAGCCAAATACCATAGAGGTTTCCCCACCCTGACCCTCTGAGGCCGCCCTTACATGTACGGTGCCCAAAACTGAGTGCTCTAATTTTTAAATGGGTATCCTTCAGGCGTAATACTGGACACAAGCATTACGAACTTGCTCCCCCTTTTATTGCTTGCAACAATTTGTTGCACTAATATCGCTTTTAGCTGCCATCACCTCTCTCTCTCTCCCTCCTTCGCTCGTCCTGCTTCCCCTTTTTTGGGGCAAACATTTTGGAAAGTTTGAGAACTCTATTTCAAAACGAAAGATTGTGAGAGAGCGAAAGTTGCAACTTGCATGCCACAAATGAACCGATCGGAAAAGCGCAGGGCAATGTCTAGAAACAAAACAACAAATGGGGAAAAAAGGACATGGCTATAGCGAAACTAATATCACCTAAATAATCGTTTCAGGGTACTCGAAAAATGGCACAAATAAATGCACAGAAAGAAGCAACTCCGATCCACTGAGTTGTTATTTCTGATAAAAAAAAAAATAACAGGCGAGTTTTTTTAGCGTTTCCTTGCAAAGTGTTCTATTAGTTTATTAGATCCCCAATTTTGAAGTAACCACACTACTTTTTGTTCATGTACTGCACGCCCTTGGCGGCGGACTTCTTGAGCGCGTCGACGGCCACCTTCACCTGCTTCTTCTCGCTGTCGTTCATCTTGGGCATGCCGTGGTTCTTCTTGACGCCCTTCTTGCCGAAGCTGAGGGGAGTGGAGAAGAAGGGGGCGTCGGTGGCGTCGGACTGCACGTAGGCGCACTCGGGCGCACAGGACTTGCCCTTGAGGCCGCGCAGCAGGGCGTTGGTGAAGCGGGCGGCCGCGTAGGCCATCGACAGGGTGGCGGAGCCCTTGCCGGCCTTGGCCTTGACCACCTCATCGCCGCCTGTCTGGATGCGCTTGACCAGCGACGCGATGCACTCGGCGTCGCCCTTGAAGGGCGGCTGGCACTGCGAGAAGATGGGCACGATGGTGGTGCCGGCGTGGCCTCCGACCACGGGTATCCTGATCTCATACGGATGGACGCCCATGTGCTCCCCGATGAACTTCTCGGCCCGCACCACATCCAGCGTGGTCACCCCAAAGAGCCGCTTGGGGTCGTAGCTGCCAGCCTGCTTCATCGCCTCCGCCGCAACGGCCACCACGGCGTTCACCGGATTGGTGATGATCCCCACGAGGGCTTTGGGCGCATGCTGGGACACCAGGCAAGCGGCCTTCGCCACTATCGGGGCATTGGTGTCGAACAGGAAGTCCCGGGTCTGGCCCGGCTTGCGCGGCATCCCCGCCGTAATCATCACGACGTGTGAGCCCTTGATGGCCTTCTCCATCTGGTCCTCTCCGAAGTAGGGCTTCACCTTGCACACCGTGGAGATGTGCGACAGGTCCTTGCCGAAGCCCTTGGTGGCCTCGAGGTCGTGCAGGGCCAGCTCCGTCACCAGCCTGTTGGTCATCAGCAGCAGCGCCAGTGGCTGGCCAATGCCGCCGGCCGCTCCAATCACCGCCACCCGGAACTGGCGCTGCATGAGCCGAGGGACAAAATCGATTGGATAATCCTCATTGACTGAATAGGAAGAAGCGTCTTACCGTCTGTGTCTGTGTCTGCGTCTGCATTTGGTTTGTGGTCGCTTGATGGAGTTGCCAGCAGAGTCGACACTTGGCCAAATTTGTTGGCTTTAGCTGGTTCCGGAACATGCTGATGGCTGATAAATGAGGGCCGTAGAATTTTGAATTTAAATAAATATTATTTCGAATCTGCTCCTCGGGAACTTTAAAACTGACAAAACAGTTTACTCGGCTTTATATCTGACAAAACGGATTACTTAGCTTGATGATTGATAACAAAAAGGAAAAAAGTAGCCATAGCCAAAAAACCGCCATATGATCAGCACAAGCACACCGCCGCAGAGAAACTGAACAGCAGCAACAACAACGGCAGAAAGACAGAGAGAGAGAGAACGATGCTCAGCCACACACTCACACCGACAAACAGCCACACAGATGAGCTGCGTGCCGAACGAAGCAACGAAAGAGAGTCAAACCGAGAGAGAGAGAGAGAAGTCCCGTTGCTGACTTCGAGCGCCGGCTTGGAATTGAGTGGCTTTGGCAGAGAAAAATGCCGCAGCCAAGTTTTCGCTAATGGGGGCTACGCCGAATTACTAGGTAAAATGTCAGCTACGTTTCCAGAGTCGCAGATTCTTTAATAAACATAACAGATATATGTATGTTGTATTGTTTTTGTGTTTGTTGCGCCCTCCCCGCTCCCAAGCTGCCCTTCTAAACTTCTTTCTGCTTCAAGCGCGACTCATTGGTCATCAGGGTGTGGAGCAATAGGTCAATAGTTTTAACGCAGCCCTGACCCATCTTCTCAAGATCCTCCAGGGGCAAGCCCATGTCCAGTTTGCGCAGGACCTGCTGATTGAAGATTTGCCAGTTCAAGAAGTTAAGCGGCAGGCTCAGGCACGGCGTGTAGCTGGTGAGGTCGACCAGTCCTGGCAGGATCCTGTTAAACATTCTGGCCACCTTCAGTGCGTCACAGAGCTGCTGTCCATCGCGATAGGTCAGCGGTATTTCGTAGCTCTGCAGCCAAGCGTCCAAGGCCGCTTGTTCGTCAGAGCTCAATTCCTGGAAGCTGGACATATTTTCAACGTTTTTTTCGGGAATTTACAATTGCAGAAACAGTAGACTGAATTTTTTGTAAATTTAGCTGGAGTTGAATTTCTAATTGATGTTGTTCAGGAGACAGTTTGGTTTCGAATCAAGGCCACCTTGATGAGACAGAAAAGTGAAAAAATATCAAATGAGAAACGATGCAACGATAGAACGATGGAATGATAGAATGATGGAATGATAGAATGATGGAATGATAGAATGATGTAATGATGGAACGACGTGGACGATGACGTCACGATGCAGATAGCAACATGGAAGTTAAACAAAGAAGCAAAATGAATAATTCCCCCTTTTCTATGCTTCGTCCTCCTGGAGGATATGTCTAAGCTACCTTTACCCAATTAATTAGCGCAAATTCAGTTCGTTTAAGGTCATTGTTTTATTTAGTAAAAATCATTTGTGCAGCATGGAGCTGAATGCTTATCAGCCAGACCAGTGAGCAACGGAGTTAAAATTTAATTTTAAGCCCAATGTCCGCTGCATTGAGTACGTTGTGTCGTCGATTTCCTAGCAATGATCTGCGCACGACGAATGTCCGCTTTCGCGCCAGGCGAGACACAAAGTGGCGAGCGTGTGTGTGTGTGTGTGTGTGTGTGGCGTACTTGAAAAGCATCTAATCCCCGATTCGCTCGATACTGAACGTCAGCGAGTGTAAAAATCATTTGTGCGTCATGTCATCGAACTGAATGCCAATGAGCAGAGTAGCGAGCAACTGCAGATGGGAATGTGGAGTCAGATTAACAATTAATCATCAATTGCCAATGGGCACTCACTTGTCAAAATGTTGCTGTATGGAGGAACATCTTTTCGAGCATTCTCTATGACCCGGACGGATAATTGCTGCCATTTTGTGGGGATTTCTGCAAATACGTATTCTCAGCTCCGATTAATCAACAATTTCGTATGACTACTCACTTGTAAAATGTTCCTGCATCACGAGAGACAATCCCTTCGAGCGTTCCACCAATCGAGCAGCACTGCAAAAACTATAGTTTTTTTTCTGAAAATTAATGACAGAACTTTTCTATATTTGGAATTGATTAGAATGGATAGACACGAACAAACCAACAATGTATCCATCCAGAGTCTGGGTTTGCAGGCCCAATTTCGTCTCGTCACTCGCTGGCCTTCTGATAGCGGGCCCAGATGGCGGATGGCGCTCAAATGACTCCTGCACTCGCTGCTGTTCAATGACTAGCGACATCGAGATCAGCTGCTTTTCGCGTACGGCATACACACGCCAGTATATGTCGCTGGCGGGAAATTGGACATTCGTCATGTGCAAATCATTTCTTAGGAGATGGACGCAACTTCCTCAATTATGCGGAGACCGCGCCGGAGACCGGCATTCCGTTGGATGCCGCCGCAAAGATTCGTGCATCGAAATTAAATTTTGGTTTGAATTTAAAATTTTGGTTTTTTTCTCCGATGTTTCTCCGTCTACGTCTGAATTTAGAATGAAAAATAATGAACGATAGCTGTGTGCTGTTACCGATAGATTTTCCATGGGTTGCTTAGATTGGATATGTCACTTATATTATATCGTAGAGCTGTCACACTTATTCCATGTACTTTACGCCCTTCGAGATGGACTTCTTCAGCGCCTCGACTGCCACCTTCAGCTGCTCCTTTTCGCATTCATCCAGCTCGGGCAGGCCGTGGTTTTTCGCAATGCCCTTGGGACCAAAGGTGAGGGGCGTGGCGAAGAACGGGGAGTCGGTGGCGTCGGACTGCACGTAGGCGCACTCGGGCGGACCCGGCTCGCCCATGAGGCCCAACATTAGGGCGTTGGTGAAGCGGGCGGCCGCGTAGGCCATCGATAGGGTGGCGGAGCCCATTCCGGCCTTGGCCTTGACCACCTCATCGCCGCCTGTCTGGATGCGTTTAACGATCGACTTGATGCACTCCTCGTCACCCTCGAAGGGCGGCTGGCACTGCGAGAAGATGGGCACGATGGTGGTGCCGGCGTGGCCACCGATCACGGGTATGCGCACCTTTTTTGGATGGAGGCTCATGTGGTCCCCGATGAACTTCTCGGCCCGCACCACATCCAGCGTGGTCACGCCAAAGAGCCGCCTGGGGTCGTAGCTGCCACTCTTCTTCATCGCCTCCGCCGCAACGGCCACCACGGCGTTCACCGGATTGGTGATGATCCCCACCAGCGCATGCGACGAGTGCTGGGACACCAGGGCAGCGGCGTTCGCGACTATCGGGGCATTGGTGTCGAACAGAAAGTCCCGGGTCTGGCCCGGCTTGCGCGGCATTCCCGCCGTAATCATCACGATGTCAGCTCCCTTGATGGCATTCGCCATCTGGTCCGCTCCGTGGTACGCCTTCACCTGGCAGCCCGTGTCGATGTGCGACAGGTCCTTGCGGAAGCCCTTGGTCGCCTGGAGGTCGTGCACGGCCAGCTCCGTCACCAGCCTGTTGGTCATCAGCAGCAGCGCCAGTGGCTGGCCAATGCCGCCGGCTGCTCCAATCACCGCCACCCGGAACTGGCGCTGCATGAGCCGAGGGACAAAATCGATTGGATAAATCCTTACTGACTAAATATGAAGCGTCTTACCGTCTGTGTCTGTGTCTGCATTTGGTTTGTGGTCGCTTGATGGAGTTGCCAGCAGAGTCGACACTTGGCAAAATTTGTGGGCTTTAGCTGGTTCCGGAACATGCTGATGGCTGATAAATGAGGGCCTTAGAATTTTGAATTTAAAGAAAAATAATTTTGAATCTGCTCCTTGGGAACGTTATATGTGACAACCGAAAAAGGATTTACTCAGCAATCAGTACACATGTATGCACAAATATTTATTTATGTTTGTTCACACAGCACCCTAGACCACACACCACAGCCGCTTAATTGCTGATCCATGCATTTCGATCGTACCCCCAGACTGAAATCAATGCAAAATATTTACTCTCTTCATAGGCTTCATCCATGAGCCCTTCCGCTCTCCTCACTCTCTTCCGATGTTGAGATCTTTTTGGGTGTGCTCTGTGGCGGGACTTTCGAGCTCGCCGAATAAACACTCTCAATTATGAAAATCAAAAACGGAAGCACAGAATCACAGGCACAGACCCATCATTCAATTCCACACCAAGAACAGCATAGGAACAGGCTCTCCTCGCCTCTGTAAGTTCGCATCATATATCACATAATTAATATGGATTAATACCAGAACAACTCCCAATATATGCTGGCTGATTAGAGAGTGTTAAGTGTGTGGCTTTAAAATAAAAAATAAATACCAACAAGGTGCAAGAAAGGAAAACCAAACGTTCATGGCTGCCAAATCGTCAAATGTGTAAAGCCCAACTGTTGGTTATATATACAAACTTATATATGCAAGCCAAAAGGATGATCTGGAGGCACTTGGACACTCTTGGGGATTCATGTTAAAAAATACCTAAGCAAAAGTGTAGCTAAAATATATATATACGCTATATATATCAGCGTTAGCTCTTGATTACGGATGGGGATTATACCAACCAATCTCATGCCAAAAATACCCATGAAGATTCAGTGTTGAAATGAATACTGTTGATTATGTTTTGTTTATGCTTAAATTAGTTTTATGTTTCTTCACAGTAATGTTAACAAAAACGAGAATACATTTTTTAATTTCTCTTTTCACTCACTTCTCACTTCGTCTTCCTTTTCTGCACTTGATTTCTTTTCTATTCTCTTCTGTTTCGTGTTCATTTTGTTTTGTTTTTGCTTTTGTTTCATCTTATTGTGATTAAGGAATAGTCGACATATAATGTAGATATTTAGACGGGTATAAAAAAAATATGTATATATAATACGACAATTAATTCAACATAGTTTGCACTTAAAAACACTTTTTCTTTCTTTCGACTTCTTCTTGATATTTGAATATATTTATATATAAATGTATGTGTATGTGTATGTGTATGTATGTATGTAATGTGGGGGACGACTGCAACGAACGTCTGCACAACATGAACAAAACGCTGGACCGTGGCCTGTTGGGCTTAGTCACTGCTGTCGTCCAAGGTCAGCGATGCCCGGCCTGTGGGCGGTCGTCCACCATTGATATTGATGAGCGGCGAGTCCAGTTCAAAGGCTGGCCGAATTTCACGATACTTGCTGAACAGGCCGCGCATCTTGTTGAGTGGCGTGTGGAATGACTGCGACACGGTTGCCGCTGCAGCTGCTGCAAATGCCGGCACTGGGGACGCAGCAGCCGGCTGGCTCACTGTTATCTGAATTGGTTCGCTGACAGCCATGGGCAGACCACCATTCAACTGGCCGGGTGTACGCGGCAAGCGTGCCGGCTTGGGCGGCGTCGATGGTGCTGCTGCTGCTGCTGCTGTTGACGCTGGCCCCGAGCCACGACGTCCGGGCGCTGTCACCGCATTGAGTTTGGGTGTGCCAAACAGGCGTTTGGGATGCATCGAGCTTTGGCTGTGTTTGCCGCCAATGGTGCCGCCGCTACCCTCCAAAGGCTTGGAGGAGCCGGACCACATCGCGGGCTTGTGCGTCTTCTGAACATTCGTTGGCGATGGGAAGCTGCGTGACACGAAAACAACAACAAAAATGAAGGAATGCTGCAACTGCAAAGGCAGGCACAAAAAAAAAGCTGACTTACAGATCCATTTCGGCTGTGGGGATAATTCTCCATGACCGTCTTCCAGGCATGCACATGCGGCAGCGTTTCCTTCTCCACATCCACATGGAAAATGGCATTGAGTACATCCAAATCGCGCTTGGTTGGCTCCTTACTGCAAGGATGCCAAATTTGTTTTAATTTCGATCTTTCGAATTTTGTTTAAAGATTTACCCAAAGATGAAGAGTTCGTAGCGCGGCGGCGGCTCTAGGAAAATGGATGCACGCGGCGACATTTGCTCTGGCGGCGTGCGAAATTGCTCCTCATCCTCGCTGCTGCTGTCCTGCTGGAGCCACACATCGCTGGCATCGTACTGTGCAGGGAGGCCAACAAAATTTGATTAAAAGTTCGTTTCATTGATGGTTGGGTGTTCCCACTTACAAAGGAATTCTCATCATTGCTATCCTCCTCGTCGTCGTTGTCGCTACTTTGACGGCTGCGGCGTGTGCGACTTTGCCAGGACCAGTCCTGGGCTTTGGAACGCAAAACATTGGCAGCTGCTGCCGCTGTGGCTGTGGGAGAACCGGGTGCTGGTGATGTATCCTGCACCTGGGCTGCTGCTGCACGCTTCATCGATTCCGTGCGCTTTCGTCGACTGGTCTTTCGACTGAGATTCGCGTCCCAAATGCAGGCGCACGACTGCTCCGTATACCAGGCGGCCGAACAGAGACTCTCCGTCTTGAGGGCATCGGGCAGCTGGACGGCATGGACCGGCGCCTGTTCGAGCATCAGCAGCAGGCTGCCACAGACACAGCCCAGATGCTCGCGACGCTCGTCGTGCAGCTGTAGTAGACGGCGCAGCATCTGGAGCAGCTGCAGGCGTATGGCAACGTTGACCTCCTGCGAATGGGCCACATAGCTGGCCACCAGATGGGCAATGCGCGAGTGTACCTTGGTGAAGTCCACGCTGATGAATCTGGCATCGTCCTTGAAGCTAACAATCAGCGATTTCAGTCTTTTGAGCTCGCAGAGCAGGGTGTCATTGATGGAGACCATGTTGCCAATGTTGTTGATGAGCGTTTTGGTGATGCGCTTGGCGAACACCTGCAGCGACTTCTCCACGCATGTGTAGGGCGTCATCACCTGGGTGGTGGTCGCACCACCACCACCACCACCACCACCAGCAGCGGCCGCCGCCACAGCCCGGCCCTTGCGATGCTTATGCTGATTGTGATCGCCCGAGACCATATCCAAATACTCGTCGATTTGTGCCACAAAATTCCACGCCTGATCAGACTTTTCGGCCTGATTCCAGGCCAGCGCCTGCTCAGACTTTTGCTGCAGATAGCCCTCCAGTCGCTCCAGGCCCATTTCGGTGGAGATGTCCACGAACGAGTCGAGAAAGTCCCAGTATTCGCGCCACTCGAGATTCTCCTGGCGTGCCAGCTGTCGGCCCACCACCTCCAGGCCCTTCTCAATGTCCGAGTTCTTGATGTGACGCTCACGGAAGCTATCGTTCAGCTGCGACACCGTCGACACGTTCATACCCATGCTAATGCTCATGCTCATGCTCATGTCCCGCAAACTGGCATCGATGCCCGCCAGGCTGTCATCGACAGAGGGCGAGTATTCGGCCTGACTGCGATAGGCCAGAAATAGATCCGGCTTCAGCTGACGTATCGGTGTGGCTGGTATATCCAGTAATCCTCCAACACCACCACCACCACCACCACCGCCACCGCCGCCCATTCGCTTGATCAAACAGTTGTTGTTATTGATGTTGTTGTTGTTCTCGCATTCCTTGCCATTGATCAGCAAAGGCTTCGGCGAACTGGTGGCCGCTCTATTCGGACTGAAGAGCGTACGTCGCCCCGCCGGTGTGGATGCCAGACATAACGGCGAACCACCACCATTGGCTCCATTGCCATTCGAGCTGCGATTAAAAATGGACTTGGTGGGCGTCACCTTAACGGGCGAAGCAAAGGGCGAGATGGCCAACGGTGACATATTATTAGCGCCAATGCGTGGCGGCGTCTTCCAGCGACGATAGAAATGCATGGCCTTTTCGCGCGGCATGGGTCCCGCCAATGCGCTGATGGTCAGGTCCATGGTGAGGCCCTCGCAGTCGTTTGCCTTTTGCTGCAAGTTCTAAATTTTTACGCAGATGCAGATGCCAAGTGGTTAGTACTAGTAATCCTCATGTTTTTTCTCTGCGGACTACTCACCGGCGGTTCGTTGGGCGTAAAGGGCTGTCCCACCTGTGGCGGCACCTCATTTGCCACGGATCTCAGCACGGGCACATAGTGCGGATCACCCAATAGCAGCTCCAACTTCTTGACAACCTCGGGCGAGGCATGCGGTGCACGCAAACAAATGATCTGTGGCAGGTAACAGACAGACAGACAGAGAGACAAACAAAGTTTAGATATATTGCAAAAAAAGGGATTTTCCCATGCTGTAGCTGTAGTACTCACATCTTTGGGCTCTTTGCCCTCAAAGTTGGCCAACGATTTGCATTGTGGATACGAAATGAGCACCTCAACGACGGCCACATGGCCATTTTTGACAGCAAAATGTAGCGGTGTCTCACCGCGCGCCTTGTCCGGCATATTCAAATAGTAGTCGAGCAGATTCTCATTGAGGGTGGCGCACATCTCCCCATTGGCCTTCTTGCCGGCATACTGAAGTGTAAATTCGCGATCGGAGATTATTTTTAGGATCATTTCGGCGACACGCGCCTGATTGACCTGCGCACAAATGTGCATGGCATTGTAGCGACAGCCCTCCTTCAGGCTTGTGGGTGTGTCCCCATTGCTGATGAGAAATCGGGGATTCTCCCAGACAATACGCTGCACTCGCTCGATATTGCCCGTTTCAATCTGTTTGCGGAACTCGACAAGCTCCTGCTTGCTGGGTGCCCGGAATGGCGGACGCTCACCGCTGCCGCTGTTGCTGCTGCTAGTGCCTGACTCATGCTTGGCCACAGTCCCAGTTGCAGTCCCAGTCCCAGTCCCGGTTCCACTGTTGCTACTGCTACTGTTGCTGCTGCTGTTTGTGGTAGTGCTGCCATTGATCGACACACTGGTGGCACTTTTGCTGCTGCTTATATTGATGGTGATGCTGGGCAGCGCCGATATGCTTGGATTCACAATCAGCATATTCGACATGGAGGCAGCCAGGCTACTGATGTTGTTGCTGCTACTGCTGTTGCTGCTACTGCTGGCGGTGGGCGATGTTGAGTATGGACCGTCCGTCGAACCCGATGACGACGACGGCTTAAAGTTGTTGCTCATTGCCAGCGGCTCTGTGGAAGGGAAAAAAAAAAGCGTTAGATCATTTCTCTATACCAATGCGATTGTCTCGCTGTCTGTCTGTCTGCCCACTTACTGCTCACTGGCTTGGCCTTGCCAAATCGTTTCAATGATTCGATGCTCTCGAAGCCAAACTGCACGTAACTCTCTGCCTGCTCGCGATTGGGAAACTCACGCAGTCGTGCCTCCTTGTAGTGTCGCAGCACATCCAGTGCCTTGGATTTTTCGGTAAAGATCAGCCACAGTGGCGAGTCGGCTGTGGGTGGATGGTTGGTTGTATATATTTTAATAAATTGAGCTGCTAACAAACGGCAGCAGCAGCAGCAGCAAACGCTACACGACGCGACTGGTCACGCCATTCGAATGGGCAGAGAGGCAGCAGAGAATAACGAAATGTGGGGAAATGGCTAAGCGACAAATGACGAATGAGCGGAATGATTGCCAGATGAGGCGCGAAATGTGGTAAGCAAAACAAAATAAAATGCGCAGAACAGTGGGAGCAAACAACCACAACAAAAGAAAAGCGAGGGGGGGTTGGCATGAGGGAGGTGGCGGGGTGCTGCGTGTGACGCAGTTATTGGCACCCAACGCCGGCAGGCAACATTGCCCTACCTTTTCGCATATGGGTATTCTTGATTAAATTCGATGTGCCTGACTTTTCTCCCCCAACGTTTCCATAGAATTTTAATTATGGATGGGAATTTCTTTCCTTGAGATTAAATATCACATGGAAATTGTTTACTTGTGCTGTAGATCGTCATTTATTATTGTTATGCCCCGTGCCCATAGTATCGTCTTTTTATAGCCCCCCATCATAGCGATTATGGGTACCATAATTATAAATATTTTTCATATGAGAAAGAAGATACTCAATCGAAGCAGTGCATTGACACAAAAAGAGATAGCAAGAGCACACAGTGTTGGATAACGTACATACAAGAGTACATATATATAAAATATGGCATAGATCTGCTGTAATTTGTACAAATAATAGCAAAGATATATAACAAATTTCAGTTGCAACATAAAGTTCCATAAATCCGCAAATCAGAAAATACTAAATTGATGTAATATGTCTACTTAAAAAGGGTATTAAAGCGTCGGCCTTTCGTATGTGATATTTTCTGCATTCTTTTACATCTTGTTTTTTTTCTTTTGGTGGGCAACGACACTTTGACTGAAACAAACAAGAACAGCGGACAGGGAGCAGGGACAGAGGTGGCACAACCCACAATTGTTCCGGGGCAGCATTCGACACATTAGCTGGGGATATATAAATATTGGATCCGGGGCATACGCACACGCACACACCGTAGCACTCTCTCTCTCTCTGTGCAGCTGGCATTATAAATAACACTCGAAAACTGAAGAATATTAAAAAAGGGAAAAACGCAGTGCAAAAGGCAACAATAAATGTGACTCGTGTTGTGTCAGGCAGGCAGGTCAAGGTCCTGTTGATGGCGTTGGATGTGGGGGCGCTTTCCAGACCCAAATTTAATCGCGGGTAAACGCATTTAATTGGATTACGCGAAGCCGGAGAGAAAAGTAACAGGCGGACATGATAGGTGTAGCTGGGAAGGGATGTGAGGCGCTGTAATTACCCATGTGGTATAATTAAATTGCATTTTGTGCCATTTTGCTTGACAATTTATTGCCCATATATGGGCGATACGATACGATATTGCTGGGGAGGGGGAGAATCGACTGTGCGAGCGAAACAGCTGCGAAAACCTCGAGAATTTCTTGGGATTGCTCTCTCACACACAGACGAACGAACACACACACACAGAAACACTTAGTCATGGCTGTGTGCACACACCGCGCGCGCGCTCTTTGGAAGCAACAAGCGTCTCCCCGTAAAAAACAAAACTGAAACGGAAACAAATAAACAACGCACTTACGTGGATATTCGGGATCCTCATAGTTGTCCGCATGGGGATTATCTGTTGCGCCTGAGGATGCTGCTAATGCTACTGCGGCTGCTGTGACTGTCGTATTGTTGTTGTTGGTGGCCGACGACGACGACTCTGAAACTGGCTTGATATTCACCGCCGCTATGGAGCCCGCACACTGTGCCGCGGTGCCCTCGAAGCCAGCCTTGGACGGCGGAATGTAGACGCCAAAGTAGGACATCTGTAATGTTGGGGTAGCACCGGCTGCCGATGATGCTGCGGGGGAGACGAGACACATACAGGGCTTATACAGAATACAGTGCACACATCACACACACACACAGACACAGTTCATCTGAGTTGCAGTACACAAATGGCACAATACCAGTGCAGAGGCAGCAACAGACGCAAAAAAAAAGAAGCAAAAAAAAAGTGACGCGATGTGTGGATTTCGGTAAATTCGGCCATTTTAGAGGGGAAATCCACACAGAAGAGCACCAACAAAATGCGACTTTCAGATTAACATCATTCAGTAGATCATCTTACCTTTTACAGAACTTTCGACAGCAATTTGTGAAATTGCATCCAGTTGTTGTTTGGCGTAGAGGTGTCAAACCATCGATGGCACTATCGATAGTATCGATATTTTACTGCTATCCTCTACTATCGACGGTTTTGCGACTATCATGATAGTATCGAGCTACAGTCTTTGCGCTTTTGATATGTTTGGATTGGCTGCTATAAAATACGAAGACACATTTGTAAACAAATCGACAGGTGGCATCTAATTTTTACAAGTTGGACAAGTTCCTAAAAGGTTTCAATGGTTTTTTAATAATTTTTTGAGCCCGATACTATCACGATAGTATCGATTGTTTTTTCTTCAAAAAATTCAACATTGATATTCCTCGAATTTGATATTCCGTTTAATATTACCAGCTAGTTAGCCCTCTCAGCCCTAAACAAATAATTTTATCCAATTCCTCAATGAATTTTGTTCAGGATTGGCTAGTTTTCAGAACTATTTTTCATTGGATTGTTTACATAAAAAGGTTCAAACAAAAACGGCCAAAGCATAAAATGTAAATGTTGACTAAATGTGACGTCAGTGTTGCATGTGGCTCACACCACGAAAAGGAGGGGAAAGTCACCACGAAAACGATCTCTTCACCTCGGAAAAGAGAGAAAATTTTCAAAAACCACCACGTTTTGAGAGCGAAAAATGTCAGTATTTTTTCTGCGCTAAATGTAGAGTGGCGGTCATTTTGAAAATAACTTTAATTTACTTTAAGAAAATAGATTGGAACTTGATTAAATATACTTCTATATACCGATATATCCCTACATATACTTTAAACTCGACTTTGACGCCAAAATAGTAAAAGTATATAATATACCGTAAATGGTATCGTGTTGCGCTGGCGCAAAGAACTATCGTTGGAATTGGCCACTATCGCAAGGGCGTTTTCCAGCACTGCTTGACTATCGATGGCGGTGAGCAAGAAATATCGCGCAGACCAAATGCCATAAGTATGTTAGGTAGGGTCAGCTCAGTGAGGGGCTTATTTCCGGCAGTCCATTACATATCAAAACCATATACTTTTGTATGAACGCATGCTTATCCGTTTACTTTCCCCAGTATTATTATTATTTCCAGTATTTATAGCTTAGTTATGGCCTCACTTTCGATTTGGTATCCAATATCGTTGCAATAACAAAGGCAGCCTCTCTGATTTGGCGCCCCACCTAATATAGTTATACCCTGGCACTGGCCGCAGTCAAACAACAGATGGCGCTTAGCTGTCGTTTGCCACAGAACCGCCCGTTACGCCGAGTGAGTCGCTGGAATACCGTTCGTGCCGCAGCAAGGTAGAGCTGAGTGTTATATTTTTTTGCCGTGTGTTTTTTGCGTGCTCTTGTGGCCTGATAGTGTCGCGCGCCTGGTGTGCAATATTGTTTAAACACGAACAGCCGAAATAAACTGCTGCTGAGCCACAAAGTGAGTTCCATTTCGAAAAATGAATCGCATTTGAACGTGATGTAACTAGATTCCCTCCCCCCCGCCTGATATCCTTGTGCGCCCGAATATATGTATAAGGACCCTGTCCCTGTGCGTTCTTAGCTGATTTTGGTGCCGAGGCGAGCCGCCTTTTACCTAATTAACTCTGGCTGTAGGCTGTTTCTGTTACTGTCTTGGTATCCAGGGGCTACAGAGATACAGATACAAATACAAATACAACAAAAATACAGATACAGCCAAGGGTGTGTTTTGACCCCCCCTCCCCCGTTTCCGAGCGTGCTCGTGCGTGCCTGTGCGCGTGTTTGAACCTGTCGTCTGTGCCTGGTTAGCCTGCTGCTAAAAATCAATAAAGCAAAACTCAAACAACAACGAAGGAGAGCAATGCTAATGGGGGGGTGCTGCTGCAGCAGGTCCTTGCTCCAGGTGCTCCATAGATAGGGGTACTCGATACACCCGATTGCAGCTTTACAGCTGCTCGTAATAAACGACCGTTAAGCGAGAGAGCGAACACTTACACACACACACACACACACACACACACTGACATCTTAAGTCGAGCATGCATGTGCATGCCAAAGCCAAAGCCAAAGCGAGGCTTTTGCCAATTAGAAGCAAGGCAACCAGCCCAGCCCAGCGTCTCTCTCTCTCTCTCTCTCTCTGTCTCTCTGTGGGGTGTTAAATGATCGATTTGCTCTTGCCACTTGCCACTAAAAATGGAGCTTATCCCCACCACTCCATGTCATACCATCCCAAACCCAGACACATATGGAACAATCGCAATGAACAATCATAAGCGATTAAATTTTATCTACAGCTGGCTAGCTGGCTGGCTGACAGGCACTTTTCTTTACAGTTAGCTGCCTTTCTTAACTGGATTGGCAATTGCCTGTTTGTCTGTGTGCCTCGGTTGTATATTAAATCATTTACACTTTGCCAACTGCCATGCACTGATTCTGATGCTTCCATGTACGTTTTTTTTTATTTTTTATTGTTTATTGCATCTCTCACTTCCCCGCTCTGCCCCGCTCTCTTTGTCTGGTGGGGGAGGGGGTGGGCTCTGACTAAGCAGTAGTTATCTTTTACCGGTCGCTGTTACTATTATCTTATCGGTAATAGGAACTTGTAGACAGCGGTAGGACGACTCTATCTCTCTCTCTCTCTCTCGATCTATTTATGATTGGTTGGCTGAATTGACGGGGGGGCGGGGTGGGATAGGGGTCTCTGACTCACGGTCAGAATGAATTTCAAGTGCAAGTGCAGCCTCAATTGTCTGAATATCATACATAGTTGTTGTTGTTGTTGTTGTTGTATCTGAAGCTGAAATTGGAAATGCGAATGGATATGAAAATGGACATGGGACATGGCAGGGCCAGCGGCCAGCTGCTACCTGCCGCACTTCCCCCGCCCCTACCACACACACACACACACACACACTTCTCCCTGTTTCTCTGTTCTATAGTCTTGCAAGTCGTTAAACCAGTTTATGACTGGACGAACGGGCATTGGGGGCCACACGCTAAGTAGAATCAACAGAGAGACGCTGAATCAGCTGCTCTGCTCCTCCGCTCTGGCTCTATAGGCCTCTGTGTCGGCTCTGCGCCACCGTTGTCTCAGCTAAGATACCCTGTTATTGTACAGAATCATAGATTGGGGGTAGCACACTCGAGCTACAAACAAGTCTATCCGTTGGCATGGTGACTGGGTGGGGGTTTCTTTCAGTAACATTTGTTGCGTACAAAAAAAAACATGCGGAACAGGGAAAAAGTCCACTTTTTTTCTTACATTTCTGTACAATGTGCTACAAAACTAATGCAGAAATATTAATTTTGTTAATTATAAATTTATGAATTATTCGCAAAAAAATACTTCAAACAGAAATCTACAAAACTTAATTTTTTTTTGTACCTAAAATTTGACTATTGTTATTAATATAATCTTTTGATACATTAAATATTTTATTACATATTATTTTAAAAGAAAAACAAATTTTTTATTCATATATTTTTTTCTTTCTGTTTAATGCATTATCTTTTGTTTTAAATACATTTCTTTGATATTTTATTTATTTTGTGCTTTTATTGAACTATTTTGATTTAAATGATGGGCGGCCCTTAGTCGCATCATAAATGATGTATGTACATATATGTATATAAGCTGCGCTTATTTATTCTGTTATTGTTTTGGTTATTGCTAAAAAAATAATACAAAGATGGAGGGGAGATGTACGGCATGTACCGCCTCTGGCACTGCCCGCCCGCCCGTGTGGCACAACGACTTCCTCATATTGTGCACTTTTTCTGGCCAAAATCAGTTGTAAAATTCGAAAAAGCGAGAGACAGGGATAGAGGGAGAACCACAAATGAAATCATCAAAGCTTTCTGCGGAACCAGATGTGTCACATCTCCCAAGCCCAATCCCTCAATCCCTCAATCCCATGCAGCGTCATCTGTTTAATTCTAAGCCTCCGAACGAATTGTTGTGTGTGTGTGTGTTTGAAACGAAACCACAAAACAAAAAACTTTATTAAATTTAGGCCAATGTCAATGCCTGGCCAGAAAACATATTATTAGGGGGGGTTGCGGTTGGGGGGTGTGTAGGAGGAGTGGCTCAGCACTTAAATATTTAAACAAAAAAAAAAAAAACAAAAAAAAACAGAAACAGAAAAAAACATTAAACATTACGCGTGCGAAGGGTGAATGATGAACGGATTGAACAGCATGGAATGATCCGCGGAGTCAAGTGGATTGATTGCCAGCGGCGCGAAGCTTCAAGAGTGGTTCCGTTTCACAGCCAAGCGAAGGGCAGGGGGGTGGCAGGTGCCACTCAACAGCTGTGTGCCTCTGCCCCATCTACAGTTGTTGATCTTTGCATTTGTTGGTTGTGTGCGGCTTCCTTGTTGCCATCTCTCGTTGTGGCTTTGAACTGACTTTGAACTTGACTTTGGAATATTCGTGGAACTTGTGAAGATCGTGTCTGAACATGTCTGATCGTGTTTGATCGTGTCGCTGTCGATGTCGCCGTCGCCTTTTGACCTTCCACTTTTGTGCTTATTCTGCAGATTGTAAACTGTGGCTGGCGGGCATCTCCTAGGTAGACCTTCCCCATACATATGTACATACATACATACATACATACATATATATTTCACCCATTGACCCAAATGCAACTGCCACACACATACACGCACACAATGGAGACGCCACAAATATCGTACTTTGTGATGCAGCCAAAACAACTTAAAAATTCAGAAAAAATTTCAATGATTGCAAATGCAGAAACAACAAAAGAAACAAACTGCAACAACAACAACAAGCCGATTAACATTAACAATAGTTTAGTTTATTGAACGCACAATGGGAATGTGGAATGGGGAATGGGGAATGGAATGGCGGAATGGTTGGGTAGCGGCGGGGAGCGGGAAGCATGCGAAAATTGTTTAAACCAAATGAAATGCCTGCGAAATGCCAGCGAAATTGTGTCAGCCACAAACAATTCACAAAAGCCAGAAATTGAAAATTTATGAGTCTCTCCTACCCCCCACCCCCCCCAGTCAATCCATTATTAAGACCAAGAAAACAATGGCAAATACTGGTATTGGTATGTATGTAGCAGGCATTGGGGAATACCATAAACAGGAACCGACAGAAGCTATCGATCAGCAGCAGCCCATTGAGATTTGAAACGTCTTTAACCTTCAATATATGTACATATGGATTATCTAACGGCTTTTTATGCGCCGAAGAAGATCATTTAATACTTGGCTTGTTGAATAAATACAAAATACAAAATATAAATTCTACAATATAATAATATAATAATAATAATACAATATATAATAACAGCTTTAGCGTACACTAAAAAAACGAAATTTAATGATTTTTTTAACTATTAAATAAGCCAACAAATCTATGTATTTATAAATATTTTAAACCCACGGTTAAGGCGAGCTTAGGCTGGGAAAAGTAATGCAAACTAACTGAGCCAAGAAATCACTTTAAAACTAAAGGTGCCTCGACCAAACACCTTCCAATTGCTTGTAATTTGATATTTTATGCAAAAGCAGCTCCTGCAAGAGCCATAGTTGAGTACACATCGCGAGAATGCAGTTTATAGATGTGCCAGGGATTAAAAACAAAGAAAACACGCCAATAATTAAGCTAAAAATAATAACAAGAAGTCAAGCGATCTTTTCTGTCTCAATTCCGCTGAGGTTATTGTGCAGCATAAAGCGGCAGCAGCATCAAACTTTTAGGACTTATAAAATAAGTAAATTTTCGGAATTTGCGGAATTTGGAATATGACATCTTGAATACGTTCCAATATTGCCTTTTCCCTTCTGCCCTGTCCAGTACCCAGCCACTCGGACGATGATTCGTTTGGCTGCGTTTTCTTCTGACAATGACAATGACAATGTACCCGGGGAGGAGATGATTCGTCTTGGGCCGTCTGGCGAAAACAGATGCCAAACAACAAAACAAAACAAAAAAAAAACAAATATATATGTACGAATATATATAATTATCGTTATGGGAAAGAGCCGCCTTGGCTCTGGCCACAGATGCCGCTGCAAATACCGTTGCAAGGTTTTGCAGTTGCAGATGCAGTTGCATTTTTTTCACAGTTAAACAATTTCCATTATCGTTAAGTTATTATTAATTTTTTAACTATTTTTTTTTCGCTTTGCTTTGATTTTTTTGTTTTACTTTGTTTTGTGTGCCCTTTGTTGGTGCGGATTTTGTGTTGTCACATCGGAGGCACAATAGAGCGCGCGGGGCAGCCACTTGATGTCTTAACATGGTTTGGGGAGGTGGGGCGCGACTTGGGACTCTGGGACCATTTTTTTTATTGTTATTGTTATTGATTTGATTGGCTTTGCATAAATTACACGCTTTGTCACCTGCGACTCTCGCAATGCCTCAATGGGAGGGGGAGGCGGGGTGCAGCCAGAGATTCGATTACGAATTTATGGCAAGACGTTT